GCTCACACTACTGACGACTCTCTCCCTGGCTCACACTACTGACCACTCTCCCTGGTTCACACTACTGACGACTCTCTCCCTGGCTCACACTACTGACGACTCTCTCCCTGGCTCACACTACTGACCACTCTCCCTGGCTCACACTACTGACCACTCTCCCTGGCTCACACTACTGAGCACTCTCCCTGGCTCACACTACTGACCACACTCCCTGGCTCACACTACTGACCACTCTCCTTGGCTCACACTACTGACCACTCTCCCTGGCTCACACTACTGACCACTCTCCTTGGCTCACACTACTGACCACTCTCCCTGGCTCACACTACTGACCACACTCTCCCTGGCTCACACTACTGACCACACTCCCTGGCTCACACTACTAACCACTCTCCCTGGCTCACACTACTGACCACTCTCCCTGGCTCACACTACTGACCTCTCTCCCAGGCTCACACTACTGACCTCTCTCCTTGGCTCACACTACTGACCACACTCTCCCTGGCTCACACTACTGACCTCTCTCCTTGGCTCACACTACTGACCACACTCTCCCTGGCTCACACTACTGACCACTCTCTTTGGCTCACACTACTGACCTCTCTCCTTGGCTCACACTACTGACCTCTCTCCCCTGGCTCACTAATATCATACTCAAAGCAATCGCCAAGAAACATGAATATGAACAAAACTTAGTATTGGCCTAGTTGCAAAGGAAGTAGTTAAGAGGTACTCGTCAGTGCTTACCAGTATAATAAGAGCAAAACTTTCCTATTACGAGAATAGATTCAAAGAAGCAAAAGGCAACATGAAAAGCACATGGTGAGCCATATCTAACATCCTAGGAGCTAAACAACATTCACATAACTAGATAAAAATCTCCAAGGATGGTTATACACCTGCAACAGATCTTGAAACATCAACTGAATTTAATAGATTCTTTTCATCGATTGGTGCTAACCTTGCCTGAAAAATCCCACAGACCCAGACACATGTTACCACATATCTTTCAGGCAGCTACCCAAACTCTCTTCTCCTCTCGCCGATCAGCCCTACAGATGTTTTGTGCATCATTCACTCACTAGAAACCAAAGTTGGAATCATTAGTGAAATACCATCCATGGTATACGAGAGTGCCTCCCATGCCCTTGCACCACCCGTAGCTTTGCTGTTGAACAAATCACTTGAGTGTCATACCTTCCCTGACATCCTTAAAAAAGCACGAGTAACGCCAGTTCATAAAGAAGGTAACACGGCAGACATAAATAATTACAGACCCATATCAAATCTACCTGTATTATAAAAAATATTTGAATAAATCATTTACAAACAGCTCTTCTCCTATCTCTTAAAATTCAATATACTAAGTCCCTGTCAGTTTGGCTTCCGCTCCCAAAAAAGTACCAATGATACAATTATTAGTCTGCTTGACTTAATCTACTCAGCCCTTGACAAAAAGTGAGTTTCTGATTGGACTCTTCATTGACCTGAGAAAAACTTTTGATACTGTTAACCATAACTATCTCTTAAACTCCACCATTATGGAATCCGAGGCCTTGCCCTAAACTGTATCCGATCCTATCTTAGTGACAGACTCCAATGTGTAGCCATCAATGATATAACCTCTCCTACTTTACTACTAACCGTAGGGGTGCCACAGGGCCGCATCCTAGGACCAAAAAAACGGCCAATCTCCAGACACAAAGCAGAACGCTTTAATAGAGACCAACGTCGTCTATGCCTTCAAATGCCCACTTGGGGACTGTAAGCCTCAAAGAACTCAGTATATAGGCAAGACAACATCTCTTTCCAGGCGATTAACGATGCATAAGCATCAGGGCTCCATTAAGGAACATATAATCTCTTCCCACAACCAGACCATCACCAGAGAAATATTAACAAACAACACAGAAATCATCGATAGATACAGCGATAGCAGGCGGCTTGACATCTGCGAGGCACTACACATCAAGAAGTCAACACCAGCAATCAACAACCAATTAATGCACAACTATATTCTACCCACTTCAAGACTCTGCACCAATATAGAAGCATCAAGAATATGGGCCAATAGGCCCTTTGCAGTTACTTCCATTCTTCCCTTTAATTTACCCAATTTATACCAATTTATACAATTGTTTCGTGTTCTGTCTTGTGTTGAAAGTTTTGTTCACCTCATCCAAAACTGTTGTAACATATCACCTCACAAAATGCAGGTATATAAGATGAAAGCTGTTTAAATTATAGCATAGTTGAACTCTATTTAGTGTTTGCAGGTTATAGTTGTGTGTGTGTAAACTAAAGTCTTTGAAAATGTAATAAGTTATTACGAAACGCGTTCAAGTGTCGCATCAGACTAGAAATAAAAATGAATTTTGGAGAACTGATTTTTCAATTACCATCGACAGTGAAAAGAAACATAAGAAATATTGAGAAAATTCGTGTTAGAATTATTAATCTTACTTTTACATACATACATACATAATATATATATATATATATATATATATATATATATATATATATATATATATATATATATATATATATATATATATATATATATATATTTTTTTTTTTTTTTTTTTTCAAGAGATCCATAACCTTTAAGCACCTTTTTGCATTATTATTTTTGTATCAACCCATGTATATCTTGTAACCATCAAATGCATAATAAAGCACAAAAAATAAAAAAGGAAGGGGGTGGTAGGAGAAAAGCACACAGAAACTGTATTGGAGGGGATCTAAACATTCCCTCTAATGCGTTATGCGTGTTTTACTCAGAGGCTATGGGTCCCCCTTCTTCCAGCTAGAGGTGGTACTCCCTTCCATTATTGTTTATATATATATATATATATATATATATATATATATATATATATATATATATATATATATATATATATATATATATATACTATATATATATATATATTCTCAATATATATATATATATATATATATATATATATATATATATATATATATATATATATATATATATATATATATATATATATATATATATATGTCGTACCTAGTAGCCAGAACGCACTTCTCAGCCTACTATGCAAGGCCCGATTTGCCTAATAGGCCAAGTTTTCATGAATTAATTGTTTTTCGACTACCTAACCTACCTAACCTAACCTAACCTAACTTTTTCGGGTACCTAACCTAACCTAACCTATAAAGATAGGTTAGGTTAGGTTAGGTCGGGTTGGTTAGGTTCGGTCATATATCTAAGTTAATTTTAACTCCAATAAAAAAAAATTGACCTCATACATAATGAGATGGGTAGCTTTATCATTTCATAAGCAAAAAATTAGAGAAAATATATTAATTCAGGAAAACTTGGCTTATTAGGCAAATCGGGCCTTGTATAGTAGGCCGAGAAGTGCGTTCTGGCTATTAGGTACGACATATATATATATACCATCGCAAGACTACACTTGCGTTTCAACTTTAGCCAACACCTATGTTGACTTCAATGCTACATAAGCAGGATGAGCTGCCAATCACCGGGAAGCAGCCAAGTCACGTAAATACAGAGACCTTGAGCACCACTACAATTTTGTCCCCATTGCCTCAGAGACACTTGGTGCCTGGGGTAAAAGTGCTGCTAGCTTTTTGAAGGAGTTGGGGTCTAAGCTAATCGAAACAACTGAGGGATAATGTTTATTAACAAGCTAATTATGCAGTAGTAGTATTCTACAATAGGCTAATACAATTGTTGGATAAAGCCATCGAAAGTATTTAAGAAAATACAACAATACAGTTTTCTAATTATCAGTGTATATTTGTAACATAATTGTACATACATGCAGTTCAACTGAAAGAAGTTTTTATATCAAAATTTACACTTTGTGTAAAATATCTGAATACTGTTTATAAAGATCAATATACAGTAATACTGTGCAAGCCAGTATTTAAAAATAATAAAGCACATTTTCATAACATCTAAATATACTATCTGGATCTAACTTTTGTATTATGTAATACTAGCTGTGTGATTGCAATGTTATTTGATAATACATCATATTTACATAAGTATTATATAAAGTTCCAAAATTTTCAGCAAATAATAATCAACAAACTTTATTAAATAATAGTTTAGTTCATTTATTATGCACCTCATACCCATCTTGTGGGATAATATAACATTAATTTTGGACTCTACTCTTAATGCATAAGCTTATAAAGGCATCTACTGTACTTGTGGATAAAGAGTTTATAAGTACAGTACGAAGTACCGAAACACAATATTCCACTGAAACCAAACAGTGTACAATAGTGCAATAAATGGTAAAGAGTACTACGTACCAAACACAAAGCTTGGTACATAGTATGTGCACTATATGTACAGTATATCCACCTGCACAGTATGCTGTATGTACATCAACTTCACAGTATACTTTCTGTATACCCAATACATGTGCAGTATTTGTATAATGTATATTCACTTTGCAGAATACTTTATGTATATTCATTGAACAGTACACTTTCTGTATATCCACTTCCCAGAATGCTTTATGTAAATACACTGTGCAGTGTACACCCCACAACCAACCAACACCACAACCCACCAACACCATACAACCAACCAACACCACAACCCACCAACACCCCACAACCAACCAACACCACAACCCACCAACACCATACAACCAACCAACACCACAACCCACCAACACCCCACAACCAACCAACACCACAACCCACCAACACCCCACAACCAACCAACACCACAACCCACCAACACCATACAACCAACCAACACCACACAACCCACCAACACCATGCAACCCACCAACACCATGCATCCCCCTAACACCACACAACCTACCAACACCACACAACCCACCAACACCACACAACCCACCAACACCACACAACCCACCAACACCACACAACCCACCAACACCACACAACCCACCAACACCACACAACACCACACAACCCACCAACACCACACAACACCACACAAACCACCAACACCACACAACCCACCAACACCACACAACACCACACAAACCACCAACACCACACAACCCACCAACACCACACAACCCACCAACACCACACAACCCACCAACACCACACAAACCACCAACACCACACAACCAACCAATGCACTGCACAGGAATACACTGTACAGTGTATTCCTGTAACACATCCTGCCCTCTTCTTTTATTAAGAAGCTTTAAACAAATGCAAAAATCTTAGCTACAAGCCTATTGGAAAACAAATTTAATGGAACTTTAAACGTAATGGAAACTGTCAGCGTGAGAGATGGTGTGCACGATAATATAGTAAAAGAAACTGTAAAATGTATTTATTTTGTAGTTTTCCTTCCTGCCCGTGATTGAAATATTAATTTTAATATTTACAAATCAATGTTAATATTTGGTATTGAAAGTACTGTACTGTATATTTGACATGCACATATTCATTTATAATTAGGCAGTAATGTGCAGTACAATGTAATATAATCATACATTGTTGGAGTACAAAGAATGTTTACAAATTAAATACTGGCTTAATGCTAAAAATACATACAAGTTTAAAAATTAAAGCAAAACTTTGCTTAAATTTAGTAAACAGAAATAAGGAAGAGAACTGAGGAGGTAAATTTTTTTCAAAAGATACAGTAGTCATAAGTTAAAAATAAAATGATGAAAGATTTAGGGATGGAAAAGAAGGGAAGAAAGAGAAGATGGTAAGGAAGAACAACTGAAAATTTTTATATTTAAAACTTAAAACCCAAAGAAGTTTTATTAAAAACAAGAGGTACTCATGTCTTACTACTTTGTAGTGTAGACAAAACGAACACCAGTCACAACCATCAGCTGCAGCTGCTACACTACTCACTTTAACTACAAATGCCCGAAACCCAAAACGCTTTGCGTAATAGTGGCTTTAGGCATTGTATGTACTAGCTCTATCTATAAAGCCAACAAACTTTGTAAAATCTCCTTATGTATGTACCTTTGCCTAAATAAAAATTATTATTATTATTAAATATAATATTTGAATTAGCCTTACAAATTCCTTGATAAAAGTATACCATTATGGTCATTGGCAAACAAACACTGCAGCTCATATTTCCAGCATCACACAAAGGCACTCATAATCAAGACTGATACATTTTATATCAAGCTCATATTTAACCAACATGGAATGTTACTATAAAAAGAACTGTATCTGAATAGAATTAATGAATTTCATATGTAGCAATTTTTTTATAAATATAGTTTTGAAGACAGCTATGCAAAGTATTGACAATAACTCTTCATCTGATGATATATAAAAATCTTAATAATTTTTATGACAATAATATATAACAAAAATTAACCAAAGGTGCTATTTGCAAATACTGTATCATAGATTGAATCATTTCAATATTGAAGACAACTGTATAATTAAGAAACATTCAGTTAGATTTAAAATTTAACAATGAATTGCAAGCTCTTACATAATTGCTACTTAGGAGAGAGGGAGGAGTTATGATACCTGGATCTCAACTTATGAAGACAGTGGGAATGTAATAGATGAAGGAGAGTACATGTTCATAATTGTATGTTTTTCATACAGAACATAACAGAAAACCAATCTTTGACAATGGAGTCATGAACAAGGCAACTAGATATGACAGCCATCAGGTGACTACTTGATCATCAACAAGCAAAGCAAGAGCTAATGTGATGTCTAAATATCCTCTTCTCGAATCTTCTTATATGACTCGTGCCTCTCTCTCACCAACCACACACTGTCGATTATTTTCCCATTCTGGAAGATAAAGACACCATTAAAATACTGTATCTGTTAAACTTAATGCTTGAATAAAATATATATATCAAATCTTTACACATGGAAAAAATATGAAGGCCTACTTATGTAGTGTTTAGTTTGCTCTTGTGGAAACGTCCGTCCCACGATACGCCACTGCATGTGGGATTATCTTATATTATCTATTATCTTATACAGTATAGCCATATGCATATAGTTGTAATGGCTTAGAACTTTCTTTTGATAGTTCCCTTCCCCTTTTCTTATATTGGTCCACACTAAAGCCCTAAAAACACCATAAATGCTTGGGAATTCCTCACCGATTACTGAATAGCATAGAAGGATCTACAATCATATAATAAATACAGGAGGGTGGTGTAATAGCCACAGCTATAAGGCCCTGGGTTATTCCCATGGGAGGCCAAGAGTATTTGGGCAATATTTTTTATAACTGATGCCTCTGTTCACATTGCAGTAAATAGGTAACCGTGAGTTGGGCAATTGTTGTAGGTTGCTGCCTATGGAAGGTAATTTGTTGGCCTAGGGGGACCTCGATAAGAGTAAAAGGCTCCCTATCCTCAGCTAAGTACATTCATAATCAGTGTGTATCAACGATAAATTCTAAAAACTCTTTATTGATTAATGTAATACACGAATTTTTATCAGTTTATTTGTGATGAGCCTGTGATCGGATGTGCAGCGTGCAGAATAATATATTGCCATACTAACCTATGATAGTTCTGAATGGTAAACTAGGTTAATTAACAGTAATATGACTTGCAGTTACTATACAACATTATACAAGCAAATTTAATTAAATGTTTCTAGCATAGGCTACATGAGCAGGAGTGATTGGATATAAATAATAGCTGCTTCATAGATTCAGTCATATATAATTAAACATACAAGTTCATATAAAATTATAACTACCTGATCATCAGACACCTGCTCCCAATAGAGATGAGTAGTGTTGAAAACCTTGAGGCGGGTGTAGCCATAATCAATGGCACGGAAGGCTGACCACTCAGGCTGATCTGGCATGAAGTGGTCATGGATCTCATCACAGCCTGCTGATCCTGTTGTGAAGTGTACTGGTGCCCTGGCAAGGATCATATAGCAAAACTGTGATTAATACCAACCACTGTTTTAACTAATTAAAATTATGTTACTTTTAATGCCCTTTGAGGGCATTATGCAAGAGGGACCTGAAAGCCATGGACGTCGATCTTGCTATGTGGGAGACACTGGCTGCAGACCGTTCAGCCTGGGGGCAGTCTGTTCAAAGAGGTCTCTCCAAGTTCGAGGAGTCACTTGCCAAGAAATCGGAGGCAAAGAGACAGAGAAGGAAAGCCGGTAGCCAGGAAGACAGACCAGAATCTGACTTCGTTTGTGCTCAGTGTGGGATGGACTGTCACTCTGGGATTGGCCTCATCAGTCACACCAGACGCTGCACCACGATTGACAACCAGGACGCAACTCCATAGTCTCCCGAGACTGAAGGATGCCTACTTTAATGCCCTTTCTCTATTCCCTGTCGATGATAGGGATACCACCAAAAATGTAATAAATTTAGTTTTAAACTAGAACCACATTGAATATACTGTATATAAGTATATTTTGATGCGCAATGAATGGACAATAAATAAAAAATAACAATAATTTATATTTTAAAAGTATTCAATGATGGCAGTTACAATTAACGCACATAACTGTCTACAGATACAGTAGTGCGTTAGTGAAACAATTTTTTTCTGGAAACCCTAGTCTTAAAGCTAATTCAGACTGATGGCACTATATTCCTTATGCTGTGTAGATACTTCTTTATCTCTCTTTTAAACTGGTCTTACAGTTTTCTATTGTATTTAGGCTATTCTATAATTGGAGATGCATTCCAAGACGTTACATATCAGTGATATCCCGAGATTTAATTGCTTACCACAACCCCTGCAATGACAAAATAAATTTACCTGGATTTACCCGAGGACTATTTACTATAATTTATTCCTAGTTTAGTTTAGTTCATTTATTATGCACCCCATACCCATCTTGTGGGCGGTAGTGAAAAGGGTTATAGAGGCACATAATGGGCTCAGGGACTGAACCCCACAATTCATTTAGCTAAGCAAGTTACAATCTTGATGAGCTAGTTACAAAATTCAGTATAAGTCGTCACATCATCAATGGGTTCGAGTTCGACCACAAGTACAGTTTCTAAATTCAGCAACTGACATATGTGGAGAGCTAGTGTCACAACTGATATGTTTGTCCTGCACACCGCCCCCAATCCAGTGGGCGGCGGTGGATAGGTTACAATCACTTAGTTACTACCTACAGTTAGCAAACTGGGGATATTTGGCTAAAATTTCTGGTAGCAGATCATTTATAATTATATATTTACACATCGTTGGAACATTAATTATAGAATTGTCTCTGAATTCACGTGTCTTTTTGCACTCCATCACATAGTGACGGAGGGTGTGCGAATAATTTTGTTGACAGTTTACATTTGGTCAGGTCTACATCAGCAGATAATGAGAATTCCCAGAAATACTTGTAACCAAGTCTAAGCCGAGCAGGAGTAACATCTAGAAGTCTGCTGATTTTATTGGATGATCCATAGATGTGTGGCTCCTCTTGCATGATAGTTGCCTCAACTGGGACTGGAAGCCAGCAGCTTATCAAGGCTGACACTTAACTGAAACATTTTCAAATAAATGTGTCTTTTGCTAATTATCTTTGTTTACCCAACTGTTGACAGTTTGCTTTCCTTTTCATAAAATTAGAAGTGTCATAAATACAGTACAATTCGCCTCGCAGTCATCGTGGCTTCGCGACCCCGCACTTCGCGAGCGCTGTCCTGGGTTGGTATCCTGGCCAGGAAGGATTGACTAGGTGCCAATCCTTAACTGTATGCCTCTGTTCACCCAGCAGGTACCTGGTTGTTAAACAATTTAACAAGTTGTATTCCAGGGAAAATTTAGATTAAGGACCGGCCCGAAACGCTATGCATGCTAGTGGCTTTACAAAAGTGTAAGAACTCTTGTATATATAAATAAATACATGAAATAAATTTGAGAACATTGTGTCAGTATCAGAGGTCCACAACTCTCCAACATGTTACCACCAAATACACTCTAAAATAATATTGCTGAATCAAATATAGACACTTCAAGAATAAACTTAAGGATCCTGGTTATATGAGCTTATAGCCTGCAAGCAACAACAAGTCTCTTTGATCAGCAGTCACCAGTCTTACAAAAGAAGCTACCCGAACTTCAAAGATGTTAAAAGACTATCAAACATCCTTTAACACTGGAAAATAAAGGTCTTATACAGTATATGGGACACAACTATACACATCACAGCTACTATATTACACTGCAACTTTACAATATGAAAGCTGCTCAGGAAGTTTGAGCTGTAGTAACAAAACAAAAACAACAAAAAAAGAAACTTGTGGGAGTCACATTCACTACCGCAACAGACCCCAATGGAGACCTCGCCTATACAAAAAAAATCATTATCTCATTTGAGAAAGTTCCAAAGAGAGCAACGTATATCCTAACCAAGTCAACTGTCATGACAAGAGAGGCTGAGGCACTCGTAACAAGCAACATTGCAAGAGAGCAACGTATGAGGCACTCATAATTAGCAACATTGCAAAGAGAGCAACGTATGAGGCACTCATAACTAGCAACATTGCAAGAGAGCAACGTATGAGGCACTCATAACTAGCAACATTGCAAGAGAGCAACGTATGAGGCACTCATAACTAGCAACATTGCAAGAGAGTAACGTATGAAGCACTCATAACTAGCAACATTGCAAGAGAGCAACGTATGAGGCACTCATAACTAGCAACATTGCAAGAGAGCAACGTATGAGGCACTCATAACTAGCAACATTGCAAAGAGAGCAACGTATGAGGCACTCATAACTAGCAACATTGCAAGAGAGCAACGTATGAGGCACTCATAACTAGCAACATTGCAAAGAGAGCAACGTATGAGGCACTCATAACTAGCAACATTGCAAATAAGATATGAGAAGGCTGATCTCATTATTTCATTGAGTTTAAATACTGTATTGTATTATGTAACATCCTTGATCCTTTCATACAACTAAATAGATTAACTTACCTGGCATTAGTGTAAGGTTCAGATAGTGATCCATTCAAGACAGTATAGTTGAAAATTGGCCATAACCTCTCATAAGAGTGCTCATGTGCCCAGACTGCCAAGTCTACACCATATTTATCAAGAATTTCCTCCATTGCATACCTGTGAAGGGTTACAAAATAAAACATTAACAAGATGTTATGTAGGACACAGGAGGGATGCTGCTGTCACTGTACCATCCATCTCATTTGAAGCAAGGTAGAGTACCTGGGCAATGACTTCGGCCAAATATTTGACAGTATGCTGGGTCGCTGAAACCAAATTGTGATATTAAAACAAATTAATTATAACATTATTACAGTACGTATTATAAGGGAAGGGAAGGGAACTATCAGGGGGAAAGCGCGAAGCCATTACGACTATATAGCACTGGGAAGGGGTCAGGATAAGGATTTGGGATGGAACGGGGGAAAGGAATGGTGCCCAACTACTTGTGGACGGTCGGGGATTGAACGCCGACCTGCATGACGCGAGACCGTCGCTCTACCGACCAGTCCAAGTGGTTGGGCTACGTATTATAAATAATTCATGATCTGAGGTATTTTGATGAATTATTAAAAGGACATCATTTTATACCAGCCTCTGTTGTGAGGTGGTGTGGTCCCTGCCCCGGTCTAAAGCAGAATGGATTGCACCCTTTGGTTGTTAAATTAAAATCAATCTTTCCCCATATACAATTATATTTATGATTATTTGAATGATTTTGTAAGGAGTGTGGTTTATTGTGCCTCCGTATTTTTATGCTGGAGAAAGCAAATAAGATTAATCTTGTGATTAATTATTGTTGTTGCAATTGTTGGGCGTTGTAATTGTTGCAATGCAAGGGCGTGATCCAATTGTTTCCCATTCTTACTATACCCTGTACTGCATCTATATGTTGCTGCTCCATTTTGTGTGATAACCTCCATTTTGTGTATGATAACCTCCATTTTGTGTGATAACCTCCATTTTGTGAATGATAACCTCCATTTTGTGTGATAACCTCCATTTTGTGTGATAACATCCATTTTGTGAATGATAACCTCCATTTTGTGTATGATAACCTCCATTTTGTGAATGATAACCTCCATTTTGTGTATGATAACCTCCATTTTGTGAATGATAACCTCCATTTTGTGAATGATAACCTTCATTTTGTGTATGATAACCTCTATTTTGTGTATGATAACCTCCATTTTGTGAATGATAACCTCCATTTTGTGTATGATAACCTCCATTTTGTGTATGATAACCTCCATTTTGTGAATGATAACCTCCATTTTGTGAATGATAACCTCCATTTTGTGTATGATAACCTCCATTTTGTGAATGATAACCTCCATTTTGTGTATGATAACCTCCATTTTGTGAATGATAACCTCCATTTTGTGTATGATAACCTCCATTTTGTGTATGATAACCTCCATTTTGTGAATGATAACCTCCATTTTGTGAATGATAACCTCCATTTTGTGTGTGATAACCTCCATTTTGTGAATGATAACCTCCATTTTGTGAATGATAACCTCCATTTTGTGTATGATAACCTCCATTTTGTGAATGATAACCTCCATTTTGTGAATGATAACCTCCATTTTGTGAATGATAACCTCCATTTTGTGAATGATAACCTCCATTTTGTGTATGATACAGGATCTGAACCAAAGTCATGCAAATTTATCTCCCTAAATTAAGCTCTCACGTGGAAATAGGAAACGAACAATACGATATTAAATGGGGGTTAAAACATGCTACTGTAGTGGTTAAACTCCATAAGCCCAGAGGATATACCTGTAATATAACAACTACATACATTAAAGTGTAAAATTAAATAAAAAAAATAATTGCATCCTTCAATTACTGTACTGTATTTAAAACCTAGTGAGATATCCTATTACTGTATTTATAGTACAGTACAGTATTTAGAAAAACTGTATCAAAATACATTACAATTCATCCAGCATGAACTAGATTAACGTACAGTACTTACGTGTGCACAAGTGGCAGGCCAACACGAGTGAGGCAATTCACTTTGGTACAGTCATCATGATCATTGTTAGAGCAGTACATAGGACGGTGACCAAACACTATGATCCAGGGACGTGTTGCACGGACTTCAGGTTTAGTTGCCTCCTGTAGAAAATATTATTAACCCTTCCATAAGTACATTTAAATATACTATCCCATAAGATTTTTTTTAAAGAGACTTGGCAAATGTTAAATCATACATATTTTTTCAAATGAAAATACACATACAAAAATAAAATATTCTAAAAAGTACATTTTACCTTTGTACCAACCATGCAGGCAGGTGTCTGGGCATAAGGGCAATACCCACTAAATGTGTTGCCATTCAATCTAAAATGCTATGCATGTTAATTGTTTTGCAAAAATGTACCACTCTAGTACAAGGTACATACATCAATGTATGTACCTTCACAACCCATCGTACCTTCTTGTATATAAATAAATAAGTAAATAACCTGTATACATACTGTACAGATCTTGACTACTGACACTTTAGCACTTATTAAAAGTAACTGAAATGGTCTCCTAATACAGTATAAATAATAGGGATTATATTTTCACAAGTGGACAACTTAGTACAGCAATAATTTAAAAAAGCCACTAAGCCGGGAAGATTATGCAGCACCAACTGTGTTGCCGAATATTCAAAAGGCACTAAATATCATTCAGGATGCCAATACAAGAACAAGAAGGCATGAGGCGAGCGACATCACAAGGTATTAGATTCAGCAATTCAGACAATAAGGAGCAGCAGGGCATCATTCCATTAAGTGCCCATGGGTGAAGCGCACGTGGTCAATATATGCAGCCTAGTCAGAGCTGTTCTCGCCCCATATTATGGTAGTAAGAAGAGGTTCATGCAGATAGACCTTTATGATTGTATACTAAAGTTCAACCCAAGTAAATATAGGGTAATGAAACTAGGCGGAGGAAATAGGGGGCGAGACACTAGATACCGAATGAAAGATGAAGTCCTTCATGAAACGGACATAGAGAAAGATCTAGGAGATCAAGTTCAAGTTCAAGTATGTTTATTGAGATAAGAAAGAAATACATCTTAAAGGGATAGAGTAGCTTAGGCTATTTCTACCCCCCTCTCTAGGAGATATCACGCCAAACCTGTCTTCTGAAGTGCATATCAAAAGAGTAACATCAGCGGTGTATGTGAGGCTGGCTAACATCAGAACCACCTTCAGAAACCTGTGTAAGGAATCTTTCAGAACGTTGTATACAGTACTACATATGTAAGACCAATCCTGGAGTATGCGGCTCCAGCATGAAGCCCGGACCTTGTCAAGCACAGGACTAAGCTAAGACTATTACTTGCTTAGCTAAATGAATTGTGGGGCTCAGTCCCTGAGCCCATTATGTGCCTCTGTAACCCTTTCCACTACCGCCCACAAGGTGGGTATGGGGTGTATAATAAATTAACTAAACTAAACTAACTAAACTCCTGAGTACCTACTTACTGCTAGGTATAAGGAGGCATTAGATGAAAGGAAATGTGTCCAACCATTTCTGTCCAGCCAGGGTTTAGAACCCCGGCGGGGATTCATTGCACAATCGGGCTGCGGAATTCTCGATTGTGCGTCGAGGATACGAACACAGGTCCAAAGCGCTCGCGAAGCACCAGGCGAGTGATTAACGGGAAGTAAATGAGAATGGGAAGACGGGACACCACGAGCGTAGCTCTCATTCTGTAACTACACTTAGGTAATTACACTTTTTTTTTAGATATATACAAGAGTTGTTACATTCTTGTACAGCCACTAGTACGCGTAGCGTTTCGGGCAGGTCCCTGGAATACGATCCCCGCCGCGAAGAATCGTTGTTACAACCAAGTACCCATTTTACTGTTGAGTTAAACAGAGGCTACAGTTAAGGATTTGCGCAAATCAGGGCGTAATTACTTAGGTAATTACCACTGCACCACGGGGAATGCTATTCAGCAACATATAAGTACATTGAATGTTGAGGCGGGATCAAAGAGCCGAAGCTCAACCTCTGTAATTTCAATTAGGTTAGATTCACCTCAGGAAGCATAAAGACAAATTAACAAAAAAATGTCCTGAAGTAGGCAACGAGTATACTTAGATGAGTACAAAGAGCTTCCTTCATGACGTAGTCATCTCTGACGTCACATTTCTAGCAACCATAAAAAATCGTATCATAAGAATGCCATCAAATAATTTATTTACATGTAAACTTAATAAACATGGAATATATAATACACTATGCAATATACATATATATGTAATATACAATATGAATTTGTGAACAAATTAAGAACCAACAGCCTTGCTATAAATGTAAACAAACATCTGTTCGTCTGTTCAAAAGTCAGAATACTGTAGAGGAAGAACTTTAAAGCAGTTGCACGCAAAATTAAACAAATACAATTGAAACAGCAGCAACACAAAAAAGTAATGTAAAGATGGAGGAAAAGGCAAGCAAGAGAAAGTCTATCTTAAAAGGTCAAAGTGAGAGAACTGAGACGAAGAAGCGGTTATCGTTTGCCAGCAGCGCGGACTTTTCCCAGACCTCGCCTGACAGTCCAGTAGTAGGAACCCGCCGTCATCCAGCTGACATTGTTCCCACCAACATCAAGGTTGTAGTCCCAAAAATTCCATGGGCTTTAAGTATAAGAATGACATTTTACTGAATCCGAAATTTGTGTTAGAGAATGCGATTTAATTTATCTCGGGAACAGGAAGCCTGTCTATATATAACGTATGTACCGGGTCCGTCTAATTACCGCAAGCTACACAAGCTTCACAAAGCTTCCTGGCAATACGTTAGTAATGAATAAATATGATAGGTTAGGCTGACTTAACCTAACCTAACCTAACCTAATTTAACCAAACCTAACCTAACCTAACCGATGCTTGGATCGACAACTTGATTTGGCGTCACCAGCTCTTTATTTTCGTCTAATTTTTTTATAAAAAGATACTTTTTCAGATTAAAATTGTTTTTTCGTGTTGTACATTCAGCACCAACATTTTAATGAGTAAATATATCACATTTATTCATTACTAACGTATTGCCAGGAAGCTTTGTGAAGCGTGTGTAGCTTGTGGTAGCTTGCGGTAATTAGACGGACCGTATGTACCTCCCATTAGGTTTATATCACGGTCCCTCCCAAGGACCAAAAACGAACTACTGACCCCAGAATGCAACCCGATAATTGCTAAATTCCCAGGTACCTGTTTACTGCTAGGTGAACAATGGGGAATGGTATGAAACAAAATGTGCCCAACTATTTCTGTCCCACCTAGGAATTGAAGCTGAGATCCCCCAGTTGTGAGTCAAGAATGAAGCCAAACTGCACTATGAGACTCTATATGGGCCTCGACATATTTAGAACAATTTTATGACAAGTTTCATTTTTTTCATGGCCTTAAAATTAAACTCGCTTAAAGGCACCAAATTTATTCAGTGAAGTAACAGTAAGAAAACGTAGGAGCATTTCTTAAATTTAATCCTGGGAGATCATGCGAGATGCCAGAGATGTTTGGTTAATCACAGTACGATATGGTATGTGGGGGCACAGCACTATTTGCTGACAGTATAAGATAATGTATATTTGTTGATTTCTGTATATAGATACTGGTGCTGTAATCATTGATGTAAATAATTAATCTCTGTGATTAGATATATGTAACTCTATCTTAACTACCTACTAAAAGTGAATAAGGCCCAAAAATAATGACATTTCTTTGTTATGTGGGAGTAGACTAATAATGTGTATGTTTGCCTTGGTATTGATACAGTTTTGTATTTCACATAAAGTGCAAACCATTTGAATATTAATTGTAGTGTTATCACATAGATATGGTCCAAAGATAATGTAATATCATTTGAAGAGTGCTAATGTACATATTCTGCATACCATTACTATATATTTTCATTGTCTATCCTAATTAACTTCATCTAGCCAAACCCAATATATCTTAGACAAAACTATTGGTTTGAATTTGAAACAAAAGTTCTGATGAATGTATATGTTTTTGCAAAAAAAAAAAAAAAAAGTTAGGTTCACTAAACTGTGAGATTGAACTTGCTCCAAAAGCTAACATAATCATATTCACTTAGCAGAGATAGCCAGTTTCTGTAGTCTGGTCTGGTAGGCTATGACTATGTAAAACATTTATGCTAAACTATTTGCAGTACTTTTCAAACACATCATGCTACCTTGCATGTTAGTATTAGACCTTAACAGTCATTAGATCCTGAGGAAATAAGTTCCTAAATGTGGGTCTCCAGACACATGGGGAAAAAGTGATAAAAAAGTCTCCAAACAATATGAAAATGTCAATAGTACTTACCTTGCTATCATGTCTTATAATGTTAGATCTTAATACAGTACTTGGTGATATTTAAGGAATGAGTTGCCAAACGTAAGATAGCTGTCACCTGGAGAAAAATTATATAATAACAAACAGACAGTATGGTTTTCAATCTGGAAGATCTTGTGTAATGAATTTACTCAGTTTCTATGATAGAGCCACAGAGATTTTACAGGAAAGAGATGATCGGGTTGACTGCATCTATTTGAACCTAAAAAAGGCTTTTGACAGAATTCCACATAAGAGGTTGTTCTGGAAACTGGAACATATTGGAGGAGTGACAGGTAGGCTTCTAACATGGATGAAAAATGTTCTGACAGAAAAATGAGGGCAATAATCAGAGGCAATGTATCCGACTGAAGAAATGACAAGAGCAGAGTACCACAGGCTTCAGTTCTTGCACCGGTAATATTCATTGTCTACATAATCAACCAAATGGAATACAGAATTATATGATCATGTTTGCTGATGATGCTAAGATACTAGGGAAGATAAGAAACTTAGATGATTGTCATGCCCTTCATGAAGACCTGGACAAAATAGGTGTATGGAGCACCACTTGGCAAATGGAATTTAATGTGAATAAATGCCATGTTATAGAATGTAAAATAGAACATAGACCTCACAAAACCTACAAATTATGTGAGAAATCTTTAAAAAATTCTGATAAAGATCTAGAGATAGTTCTAGATAAAAAAAACTATCACCTGAGGACCACATAAAGAATATCATGCGAGGAGTCAATATTTTCCAATTTCCAATTTTTTTATTTACATTTTCTAATTTTAGAATTGCTTTTAAATACAGAGATAGTGAAATACTAAAGAAATTGTTCATGAGCTTTGTTAGACCATAGTTGGAATATGCAGCGGTTGTATGGTGCCAATATCTTAAGCAATCAACAAACTGGAAAATGTGCAAAGACATACAACTAAATGGCTCCTGGAACTGAAGGAAAAGAGCTACGAGGACAAGTTAGAGGCAATATACTAAAACTAGAAGATAGAAGAAAAAGAGGCGATATAATCACTACATACCAAATAGTGATGGGACTCTATGAAATTGATAGGGAAGAATTCCTGAGACTTGGAACTTCAAGAACAAGAAGTCAGATTTAAACTAACTAAACAAAGCTGCCGAAGAAATACAAGAAAATTCACTTTCGCAAACAGTGGTAGATGGAACAAGTTCGGTGAGAAGGTGGGGGAGGCCAAAACCATCAGTAGTTTCAAGGCATTATATAATGAAGAGTGCTGGGGAAGACGAGATATCACGAGAATAGCTCTCATCCTGTAACTACACATAGGCAATTACCCATCTAAAAGCCCCCCCAAATACTAGTCTCCAGACATCGACGAGGCCGAATATCCCAGACGAAGATGTGTTATTTGAGAAGTGTTGCCTAATAGTATTGAAATAATGGAGATTATTATATAGTACATAATATACTGTACATGAACAAATCCACAAGGGCCATGATGAGGGTTCAAACCCTTATCACGGCCCTTGTGGATTTGTTCGTTTGATATATCACACTATTGTGATTTCTGTGTGTATACTGTACATGTTTATGCTGGTAACATTTCCTTATAAATGGGTGACATGTCTTGCAATCTAGAGACCTGTAGTAAGGTGTCTGTTAACTTAGTTTTGATTTTTTTTTTAATATCTGGGTATATAATAGACTCATGTAGAGTACATTATAGTGTTGTTATATTGAACACCCTGCCTTATTTCAGTTCAAACCATTAATTTGTTAAGTGTCCCGGTAATACAGTCAGGTTCGTTCTCGATTCACAATCAAGAATTCTGGATTTGAATCCTGGGCAGGAAAGAAATGGTTGGACACATTTCTTATCACCTAATGCCCTTGTCCACCTAACAGTAAAGAGGTACCCAGGAAGTGGACAGCTTGTTGTGGAGTTGCATCCTGGGGATACCTGCTTGATGGGGTTCTGGGAGTTCTACTTCCCAAGCCCGATCCGAGGCCAGGCTCGACTTGTGAGAGCTTGGTCCACCAGGCTGTTGCTTGGCACGGCCTGCAGGCCCACATACCCACTACAGCCCGGTTGGTCCGGCACTCCTTGGAGAAAACTATCTAGTTTTCTCTTGATAATGTCCACAGTTTCAGGAAGGTTTAGTAATTTGACCCTGGGGGGACCCCTCAATATAAGCCTAACATGTATGGTATGTATAAACTGGCTGCCTGTCTTCCAACACATTGAATTATTTAACTTAATACTGTATAAATTTAACTCTTCTTACCAAGTTTTAATTTGTTCACCCCTTCCCTAACCTAATCCCCACCCCTCTGTCCTCTCACCCTGAACTCTTAGTCCTCCCATCTCTGTTCTGTTGAATATAATTTTATACTGTACAGTATATACTAATTAAATAAATATGAACTAGTACAGTATTATATTGAGTTGAGATTTTAAGATCAGACATAAATAATTCATCTTTCAGCATACATCTGGTTATTTTCTCTTGGTTGATATATTCATACAAACAAAATGAGATAAAATTAGGATTATGCAGTATAGCCATGAGCTTTGGTTGGGAATGAGGAGTCAGTGTTTTACTGATAGGGAAAACATTTTGAATGTCAAATGATTTTAAATATTAAAACTGTTACTTATAAAACATATTTTTCCAAAACAGAGCCAAATCCAAGACCTTGAAGTTACCCCTTTAAAGAAGCACAAAAAGCAGTCTGCAGGCTCTGTTGCTTCACAAAGCCAAGCATCACAATCTAATAGCCAGTTAGATCTTCAGGATTCCTTTGCCATTGCTGTTCCAACCTGCAAGTCTGTCAGACGCACCGCAATGGGATTGTGTTATAGCCCCGAGGAAACATCTGTAGAATTACACACACACCACCAGGAAACTATTCCCTTGAAGGATAATAAAAGAAATAATTTTGTAACTGCTCTTCAAAACACCTATAGAACAAGGCCCACAGCAAATGTTTTGGTAAGAAAATACCTTTGATTGCATTTAGATTTGAGTGTATATTCTTATTACAGTTATTTACAGGTGCTGAATATGTCATATGCAATATGTGCATGGGATGATGTACTTCACACCTACCTGTCATGCCAACATTAAAAGGGGGTTGTAAAGGGGGTTGTATCTTTCACACTAACATATGCATGGTATTACAAATAACCTTCTTACTAATTTATGTATATAATTGTCATTCATGCCAGCATGAACATGGAATCATGTTCCTCATTCCAACATATGAGATTGTCATTTTGTGTATGTGATTATATGCTTCATACTTGTGTTTAGGTTTATGTTCTTCAAACTATCTGAATGAGATGGTCTTTCATACCAGCATATGCAAATGATTTTTATATCTTTCAACATTCACATGGGTTTACATATTTCATACAAAAAAATGGCGGTATAAATATTGTAAGTCTTATGATGTATACAGTTGCCTAAAGAGTTTTACATGGAATATCAGAACATTTCTGCAGGCTACTACATTAGATTTTAATGATATTTTGTTTCATTGATATTAACTTACCTAAGTTTTCTGAGGGGGAACCCCTACGACTTCCTATAGCTTATGGGGCTAATGTATTTTATATTAGATTGGGATATTAGCTATGGAGTTCAGACCTACCAGGGACATGAACTAGAACCTGGCCCCTTTCAGAGAGGTTTTAGGGAGCAGTGGCCCTGGAAACCCCCCCCCCCCCCCCCTGTGGTTGGGGTTTTTCCTTATCTGCCATCGACCGGGGTTAGGCACCAAGAAAGGTAGGCATAACAAAACAAACCCCACATGGTAAGTAACTAACAACAAAAACCGAACAGAGAGGTAGAACTCCCTCAATTGCAAGGAAACAAGCAAACAAGCAAGCGTAACACGCTACTGCTACCCCGCTTGTTCGTGCAGCCCTCCCCTCCCCGAGAGGGGGAGGGGAAGGCCCCGGATCTCACTGCACCGGCTGCATAGCACTTCAGTTCGCAAGCTAATATCAACCGGGACAGACGCTTCTCTAGCCTCAGTTTCCTAGGCGGTGTTTGCCTCCGTGGCGCTCACTTCCGTGTTTTTGTGTTGTGTGGTGGCCAGGTGTTCCTCATCAGCACCGGGGCTGCATGTGCTTAGGGGCTTCCTTCCCTAAGCGCCCTGTGAGTACTGCCCCTGCGTGTCAGGGTTATCTTCCCTGGGGCGTTCGGGACCCATTCCCGTAAGGGTTCTTGCTGCTCAACATTTACCTTGCCCTTGGGGTCAGCTGGGGCTTGGGGCCCTTGTTTGGCCTTGGGTAGGGACTGGTATCGTGCTGGTTGGGGTGTCAAGGTGTTGCACCACCTGCTATCTATGCAGCGACCGATTCCTGTTGCCTCTGGGGACGGTGTACTTTTGCGGGGGTTTTCTTTTCTTGTTATTTTCATTTGCCTGGTGGGGGTCTACCTAGTGTGGCTATAGTTCCACTGGTATTGTTTGGTGGCCCTTTGCTAGGCCCCCATGATTGTACAGGTCGCAGGGGTTTTCAGTGTTGCATATACCCCTTGTTAGCTTGGGTATTAACCGGTTAGCAACTTCTTGCTCGGGATTCCCGTAGCAGTAGCAGTTAATCTACGGGCCCTAGAAAACCCTGTCGAGGCTCGGTGGACCATTGGATGTGTCTTCTGGGTTCCATCCCGTCTTGGGTTCATTGGTTGCTGTGCCCTTGTCTCAGGGTGACAGTCACCACTTTTACCTCCGTCATGCTGCCTGTTAGGTCACTGACACCTTGACCCGGAGTCTTGCGAGTTGTGTTCTCTGCTTGTTCTACAGTACTCTTCTGATGTCCTTACTATTAAGAGTACAGGCGGCATCCATGTTGCATGATCGATTTAGGGTGGTTTCCCAACGTTTTGATTAGGTGGTGTTCACCCCTTTCCCCTCCCTGCCTCCCTCCTGACTGTCTGCGGGTTTCAGGGTTAGAGCTGGGGGTTTAGTTGATGCAGAGACTCGGGCGGCTTCGAGGGCTGCCTCGTTCGAGTTGGGGATGGAGGTTTTCAAGCCTGTTCCTCCTGCCGGGGCTTTTGGGTCTTACCAGCGGCCTTTTCTCTGTTTCCTTTCCCCTGGACACTTCCTTTTCTTTAAAGGCAGAGGGCATGGAGGACGGCTTCTGCCCCGGGGCCTCTGTTGCAGGTTCCCGGGCTGTGGGAAATGCCCGCTTGCAGTTCTGGGGCTGTTTGCCCAGGCAGAAAACTGCCCGGGTTTTCTGCTTCTGGGCAGGATTTTTTGTCCCTCTTGTCTGCTTGCTTCCCACATTTGCTGGAGTGTTTTCAGATCTCTTGCGTTGGTCACGGCTCCTTTGTTCTGGTGGCCATTTTCTTTCTGCGGGTTGCTTCCCCACCTGGCCATCAGGGCGGAGCTGCAGTTTGTTTACCTGTGCCTGGGTGTGCAAGCTCACATTTTGGGGGAGTTTTTCACCTCCTTCAGGGGTTTTATCCTCCTGTTGCCATTTCTTTGCTTTTTCTGGGATGTTCTGCCTTTCTTCTGTTCCTCTGGGAATGCTTGGGTGTTGGTTTTACACCGATTTTTGCATTTTCTGTCTTTTTGGGTCTGGGCCCTGGGTCCCTGTCTGTTTATGCTTGCTCCCACACCTTGTGTCCCTCGGTTTTCGATCCGCTTTGGCCGTTTCACTGGAGGTTTCTATCTTGTTGCTGTGCTTTGAACTTTCTGTGGTGTATTTCCGCCAGCAAATGTGGCAGTTTGGGCTCTCCCAGGTTCGATTCTGGGTTCCTTTGGGTTCTTTGGTTTCGTTCTGGAGGTTTCTTTCTCTTGGGCCCCCTTTGGGGCTTCAGGAGGCTTTTAGTTACCTCGTGTGAGACCCGGTTCTGCATTCTGGGGTTCTGGGGTCTTCCTGGCTTGCAGGCTGCTCTTTTTGGGTTTTGGCACGTGTTGTGGTCGTGCCGGAGCCTTGGTTTTTGTTGTCAAGGGGGGCCTTTTGGTGCAGTTTTTGTGCTCTCGGTGCCTTCTTAGTCTGGCCGGCGCTGTGCTCTTCTTCTGTGAGGAGTAGCACAGGAGGTTTTAGTTTTATGGCACACCACTTCCACTTGCACATAGGCCTCTTCTCAGTGGCCTATGTCTCTAGGCTGCATTCAGTGTTTGTATATTATCGTCTGCAAGTGGATCATGTCTGATGTACCTGCTTGATCTTTACCTTTAGGATCGAGGGTATAGCATGCTCTGATCCTCTAATACTACACTTGCTGGATGAGAGTTTGAAGGATGTACAGCAGTTTTATTACATTCCAGTGACCATTCTTACTGCTTCTGCCATGCAATCTGTTTAGTGAATGATATCTTTCACTGTGAGGTCTGCAATGTGTCGTCATTTAGTCTTCGTTTTGGATGAGACTCCATCTCATGGCTCAGCCTACGAGGCTGTTGCCACTTTATGGGGAGAGTTTTTCCCATATGTGTTGTATGCAGCTTGGTGTTGTTGTGGTTGCCTCAAAATCAGCCTCTTTATCTTTACTTAGGGTTTCTCTCTTTGTTCCAGGCTCATCAGCATCTGAGGGTTTTGGGGTCAGATTGGTGTGTCTTTGTTTGAGGTTGGGTCTTTTCTGGGGGGGTTGCCTCTTCCACATGAAGGTTGTGCTTCATGCCAAAGATCTACTGCCTCCTGCATCTAGGGAAGGGGGTGTTGCAGCTGTGGATCCTTCCATTTGGGGAGACACTTTTCTGTCCTCAGTGTCTGGTGTGGAACATGACTTTGCCCTGGACTCTGTTTCATGAGGCTTCGGATGAGCCCGAGGAGGATCCATGGGGTACCCTTTCAATCCTGATTGGTCTTTGGTTCCTTCTGTAGAGGGGTATTCTTTCAAGGTGGAGGGTTTGTTATACCCTCCTTCAAAGTATGAGATGGATTCCTTGGTTCCTTCTCCCTGTGTTCGCTTCTGGGTTCTATTTGAATCCTTGGCAGTGTACTGTTTGTGGATTTTTTATTTTTTATTTATTTTTTATTTATTTTTATTTTATTATTATTACTAGCTGTACCCGGCCACGCATTGCTGGGGCTCGGCAATGCATGCGTGTTGCTGAGCCACATCAACCCTCTCCCTGTCCTCCCTACCATTCCCCCCCTTCTTCATCCCCTTGTCCTCCCAATCATTCCCCACTCCTCTGTCCTCCCCACCATACCCCTCCCCTGTCCCCTTGTCCTCCCCACCAACCACCACTCCCTCCCATCCACTTGTCCTCCCCACCATTCACCACTCTGTCCTCTCGTCCTTCCCACCATCCCCGACTCCCCCATCCCCTTCCCAACATTCCCCCTCAACCATCCCCTCGTCCTCCCCTCCATCCCCCCCACTCCCCTTTCCCTTCGTTCTCCCCATCATCCCCCTCCCACTCCCATCCCCTCGTCCTCCCCACCATTCCCCACTCCCTCATCCGATGCATTCCCAAATGATTTGATATTCCCATCACTAAAAAATAAGAAGAACAGTTTAAAAAACGAAAAAAATAAAAAAATTAACTACTCATGAAATGAAAGGTATGGTAAAACACACAGCTCAATTGCAACCCAATGTCTCACAAAACAATTAAATCAAAATTAAAATAAATCAAAATATGAAAATTTAATTTACCAATGCAATCGGAAACATTGAAATGGAATCGTAACGTATTTAGTATAGCGTGCAGTTGCCTCTATGTGCAACAGATGGTGCTGTTTTTTTTAAACATGTTTTTACCTGTCACAGCTGTTGCATGTATATAGTAGGTATATAAAAACACATGCGTATTCGAATGGAACATTGTATCAAAATTTCAAAGCAATCAGTGAAGAACTTTCGAAGATTAGCAATTTTGAACAAAAGAACATTTACATTTTTATTTATGTAGATAGATGACCAGTATGGTAAACAACACAGCTCAGTTGCAATGCAATGTCACACAAAATAATTAAATCAAAATTAAAACAAATCGATAATCTATGAAAATTCAGTTCATCAATGCA